AGATGTCTCGCGATACTTTTGCCGCGTGTTGGTCTTCACGTGGGCCGCTCGTCGCCTGCAGGCAGGATGTCATCACCCGTTTCCCCAGACGTCGAACGTAACAGAAACCTTACCTGCGTTGAAGTGAGGAGTCGGTCCGCATTAGTGCAAGGCCAGCAGAAGGCCAGCCTGCACCTCCAGGTTCGAGACCGTGCGGTGGCTTGCCCTAGGTTTCCGAGGTCAGCACTTGTGGCAAAACGCGAGTAGGCAGGAAGCGTGTTCGTCCGTGTTGAATACGGTCGATGTAGAAGACCGAGAGCATCGCTCCGGCGACAGTGTTGTATCTAAGATCACCGGCGCTGCTGGAGATTCGGAGAGTCGCGTCGTGATGATCCGAGTGAGACGGCCATATCGTCGGCCCTGAGTTCACCGAATCGGATCGAGCTAGCGTCGTTGCTCTTTCCGCAGCTCCGCCTCAGCCTACACGTGTGTGCACTACGCAACGCCCTCATGTAGAACCTCTTTAGAAATACGCTGCCTCGGTTCTTTGGGTATGCGATAGTAATCATCCCACGATACACCATGGAACGAAGAGTGAGCCTCAAAGACCTCATTCGTAATGCCGGCGTCATCCCCGTCGAACAGCGCCAAGCAGTCCTCCCGGCCCCAACACAGCCGGCCGTCTCAGTCAGCGAGGAGGACATCTCGCAAGCGCGAAACATCCTGCTTGAACGGAGGGCCAAAAATCCCGAAAGCAAGAATGTGTTGAAGAGCATCTTCAAAAGCTCGAAAGAGAAGGACAAGGGACAGGATGGGGCGCAATTCTCGCAGGAGGAGCTCGACCAAGCCTTGTCCGCTGTCATCCGCAGTCCCACGACTGGACCCGGCCTAATCCAAGCCTTCCTCACTCTGGGCGCGAAAGTGAACATCATCGAGACAATCGACAAGAAGCGAAGATCGAGTAATCAGGCCAACACAGCATTGCGCCGCCGTAGCACGGTCTTGCAGCAGGCCGCAAGCCTGAGGAAAGCCGATGGTGTCAACATTCTCGCCGCCTCTGGTGCGGACCAACAGACCTTGGACGAAGGACTGAAAGCTGCTCTGGCTGCCGGCGATCAAGAAAGTATAGGCCTCTTACTGCGTCACGGAGCAGATCTAAACAACTTCCCCAATGCTTTGGCCAATGCGGTCCGATCGAATGACCTGAACTTCGTCAAGCTCTTGTTGCGAGCTCCAAAGCCACTGCGTGCTCAGATCATCAATTCTTGCTTACCTGCAGCGGTTCAGCAAGGCTCGGATGCTGTCATATCTCTGCTGATAGCATACGGCGCTGACCCGAATTTCGACTCCGCAAGCGCTCTCAACATGGCGATTGGAAGACAGGCCTACAAGCTGGCCATCGCTCTGGTCGCTGGCCCGATCCGTCTTAACGAACCGAACCTGCAACATGCGCTCGACACTACCATGAGGCTACCAACGCGACAAGCAACGCTGCAGTTCCTACAGCTCTTGTTTTGCTGCGGGCTACCTCCCGATAGTCGTGGTCTACCGGACTTCCTCATCTGTCTGGCAAGAAGCAACGACACTGCTGGCGCGAAGATGATGGTCAGCTATGGCGTACCAACCACCGCTGACGATGCCGAGTGTCTGAGAGAGGCTGTCGAAAACTCAAACTGGAGCTTGGTGGATGCTATTCTCCAGACCCCCATCGCCCCTCTGCATGCAACAGCAGCGCTTGCTGTTTTGCCGACCAACACCCCACAGCCTGATAGACTTCGCGTAGTCGATGCCTTGCTAAAGAAAGGCGCAGCAGGTCTGCCTCTTGGTCGATTGCTCACGCAAGCCACAAAGGAGAAAGACACTCAGTTGATCGATCTCCTTCTTGGTGCTGGCGCGCCTGTCGATTCAGGCGACAACGGCGCACTTCATTTTGCAGTGGTCAATCGAGATATCCGAACACTCAAGTCAATTCTGAACGCTCGCCCCCCACCAGAGACCCTAGCGAACGTGTTTCCACTCATCTTCCGTACTGATGGGATCTCGGTATCGGAGCGACGTGAAATTGCGCGGCTATTACTAGAGCACGGTGCAAGTGGTCCTGGTGTTGATCAAGCTCTAGTCAATGCAATTGCGGACACGTCGGCTGGGCGGGATGGGGCCCTGATAACAGACCTCGTTCGCAAAGGTGCAAATGTTGACGAAAGAGCCTTGTCGCTCGCAGTGACACAAGTCGACATCTCTCTTCTGCGTCTACTCTGCAACACTAGACCCAACTCCTCAGCGACGTCGGCAGCCCTACCTCTAGCATTTGATTCACGAGCGGGCAGACACTCAAAAACACTCGAGATCATTGACTTGCTTCTGAACCATGGAATTGAAGAAGAGCCAGCCAGTCAGACCTTACAGATTGCCATCAATGGCGGCCCCGACAACATTGATATCATCGAGCGGCTGCTCACTGCCAGCCCTAGACTGCTAAGCACCGCGTTCAAGTACACGACAGCGATTGAAGATCCTCACATGAAGGCACCAATACTGAATGCTTTACTGAAGCTAGGAGTACCACAAGACGCTCTGGACCAAGCCCTTGCCGCGGAGACACGACAGGCCGTTGCCACAAATGACACAACCAGTACCAGGTTGCTGTTGGGACAAGGAGCATCTGTGAGTCACAATGATGGCGAAGCGTTGAGTGTTGCGGTAGCTTCAGGAAACAGCTCGCTAATGGCATTAATACTCAGTGGACGTCACCAACCATCACGATCTAACGTCACGAGGTCGTTCCGTACATTGTTCACCGACGAGAAGTTGATGCTGGAAGGAAAGAAAGGAAGCATTGGTGAAATGGCACAAGAGCTACTGGCCCGTGGAGTAGAACAGTCTGCCATCGACGCAGCTCTGCGACTCATCCTCAGCAACGAGCATAGTAAGTATACGGAGCCCTGGATTGATCTGTTGCTTCAATATCACGCGGATGTCAACACGGCGGATGGGGCATGCTTCGTCTTCGCAGCACAAAAGCACAGTCACACCATCTTTGAGAAGCTCATGCGTCACAACCCCAAGTTCAACGTCGTCGTTCCAGCGTTATTGAGTTCCAAGCTCCAAGACGAAGTAGTCGTTGCCGCAATACAGTCATGCCTCGATCACGGTTGCATACTTGAACAGCTCGGTGTCGGCTATAACAAGCCACCGATACTCATCACCACCATGACTGTGTACCCACGCAATAGCGCGCTCATCACGCTACTCTTGAAGCACGGCTTGAATCCGGAAATAACCATCCCCACGGTTCTCCATTCGTCCTGCGGACCCGAAACTGTGCCCGCACTGCTTTGGGCATTAGCTCAACCACAAAAGCGCATTTCGGACGCCGTCATCTCCGCCCTTTTGGAAGCTGGAGCATCCGTTGACCGACTTTCTGCCGCTTCGGAGACTACGGCACTTATGCTCGCCGCTCGTGAGGGGCGTCATGAGATAGTGAACGCACTAGTCGTGCGGGGTTCGGATGCGGATCTTCGGGATGTCTGGAACAAATCCGCACTCTTCTATGCTAGCAGCAGTGTGTCTGGGGAAGCCACAGTGAAGTTACTAGCGCCATGCTCGCTAGCAAATGATGGTGCATTACATGAGTCAGCGAGGGAACTCAACGTCGAGGTCACGAGGACATTGTTGGAGCATGCTCATGATACAAACTATCCTTCCCGTCTTCATGGTGGCAGGAATGTCCTTGGAGAGATATGTCTCAACGCTAGAGTCTCCACATCCGCGCATCGCTCGAAGTTTCGCCAGCTACTGCGTCTCCTCCTGACCAAACGCGTAAACCCCAAATTCCGCGCTCGCAATGAGAAGTCCAGTGTCATCCTCGCGCTCGACAATGCCTACAGCGCCCTTCCCATCACGGAGGCTCTGCTAGAGACAGAGATATGGCAAGACCTCAACGATGAAGCACACATCTACTGTGACGCAGCCTCAGGCCTCCATTACTCACCCTACTCCTACGTTGAGCTAATCGCTACACCCGCCCGCGCTCCCGTCAAAAGGGCCTTACTCGATCTCCTTCGCGACAAAGCCTGTCTCCCAGTCTACTATTCCTCGTCGGCACTCCAACCCGTGGGCGCAACAGGCATCCCACCCGCAATCGCCAAACTCGTAGACAAGCAAAAGGAACACGAGCTCTCTATCCGCCACGAGAAGGAGAAGTTCGAGCACACTCGCACGATCGAGGAAACAAGCCATAAAGACATACTACGACGCAAGCGCGAGAGCCAAACCGTCGAACTGGAACTCCAAACCAAAGCAACCCAGCACTACACCGCCCTGGAGCAGCAGAAACACGACTTCGAAGTCCACCGCGTAAGGGAGGCGGAGCGTATGAAGCGGTCTGAACGAGTGGCTTGGCATAACTTGGTACAAGAGCAAGAGCGCGATGCTGCTGCGGCACGGGCGAGTGCAGAGGAGAGGAAGCTGAGGGAGGCTATGGCGGCTGAGAGCAAGATGATTGAGCAGCGGAAACAGGAGTTGGAGCATAGGGCTGGGGTGGAGAGGAGGATGTTGAAGGAGAAGGAAGAGCATTATGAGAGGAATGTTAAGAGGCAGAAGGAGGTTAGGCAGATTGAGGGTGGGCCGCCGCAGTGGGGGACTGTTGATTAGCAGTTTTACAGGGGAGTGGTGAGATAGTTTTATGGGATTTTTTTGGGTTAGCGCGATGAGGTGGATTGGTGAACAGGTCTATCTCACACTTGAAAGAATTCATTTATCATGACATGATCTTTGCATTGGACTATGCTCTTCCATGCATGTACATGTGCAGTATCTGAAGGTATTTCACCTTCATCTTCATCGGCGTACGCGTCTGAGGTGTTCGAACGCGTCCTGCCTCCTCGGCAACGCGCTCACCTTCGCTTCGCTCCTTCCCCCTGGTCAAAACACCGTGCCACATCCAACCTTACAAACAACCGCCTCTACGACCTTTGCTTCTCCACACAACAATCGCGAGCCCCTGCAGCACTACTACGATAATGGATCCGCAGCAGCAGTACATCGCACAAGTCAAGGAAGAATACGATGAGCTTGGCATCTGGGTGCCGGTGAACGAAGAGCAAGAACCTGCTGAGAGCGTGGCCACTGCTGTCCCTAAAACTGAGCCGACTGATCAAGTACGTTCATCTATGACAAGCTTATTCACTCTTGACTACAATGTTTACTACAGCATGCTAATACAAGTAATTCCAGACCACAACCACCCACAACAAACCAAAGAAAGCCAAGAAGTCCAAGAAGGCCAAACGAACCGATCCTCTGACCAAGAGAGAACAGCATGTCCAGCGTCTCGAGGCGATGAATTCCCGGCTCCGCAAAGACCTCAGAGAGGTCCGCGACGGAACAAGAGTGCAGCAGATGAAAGACCTCGAGAGTCAAGTCCTCTTGCTGCAAGAAGCCGTCGGACCAAACAAAGCTAGCATCATCAAGGACTTGAAGCTAGAAAATCTGCAACTACAGAAGAAGGTCGAGAATCTGCAGCGAGAGGTCAAGAACGCAGAGCGAGACGTTCGAGCTCACAACAACAGCATTGAGAATAGAGAGGAGAAGGTTGTGCTCAAAGGACGAGGCCACAAACTTGCGCAGGCAAAAGCCCAAAGCGATCTAGCAGTCCGTAATCTAAAGAAGCAACTGAAACAGGAGCAAAAGACCAGAAAGAGAGTGGAGGATCGCTGGCGTCAGGCTGAGGCGCGCTTCGCACGCTTTACGGGTCCCGAGGGACATGGGGCTGAGATGACTGAAGAGTTGCTTAACGAAGAAGAGGTCATCGAACAAAATATCGTCAAGGATGAAGAGTCGATGGTGGTTGAGTGATGGTGAACAACGCAAGACATGCGCGAGAAGCTGCACAGAAATACGCGGCTCTTATACAGAAATGATCGTGGCTTAAACTTGACATTAAACTATGCTCTTCTAATCGTGGACATCCGCAGACCTCGAGGGTGCGTCACCTCCGATGTGTCTGATTGCTATCGCATCGCCTCGGCAACGCACTTACCTTCACTTCGCTCTTTCCCCGTTCGTGAACTTTGCCACATGCACGCTTGCTAACCTCAAAACACCCCACTTCTCCAATGTGAACTCGTCCACACAACCTCAACCCGCAACGGCGACCCAGCCACCATGGATCGGTATCAGCAGTACGGAACGCAAGTCAAGGAGGAGGATGCCGAGCTCGAAGACTGGATACCGATAAAGCAGGAGGAAGGGCTCGCGGAGCAAGTTCCCACTGTTGTCCCCAAAGCCGGATCATCTGGCGAGGTGAGTGCACTCATCCTACTGATAATCTTACCGGGTAGCACTGCTGTCTTCCAATGCACATACTAACTACGACGTTAATAGTCCACTCTAACTTCATATCGACGCCAAAATAAACAAGACCGACGTCGAGAGATTCAACGTTCTACCGGTAAACGCAAACGTGGTCCAAGAACCAAGAAGCCGCCAAAAAGAGTGCGCCTAGCAGAGAAACTACGAAAAGCCGAGGAGATGAGCCATCAGCCCGGCAAGAAAGAGATCCGGGATTCTCAGATCCAGCAAGAGCTCTCCGACACCCGCAAGATGATTGCGGACCTTAAAGCACGCTCACAAGTGGGTGCACCGGATGTACAAATCTCGCCACCTCATCACGTACCCGAGCCAAGCGTCATGACCAAGGAAACAAGAACCATAGCAGCAATAAGAGCAGATATAGCGCGCCTGGAGCAAGAACTAAAGGAAGCATGTCGGCAGGGCGAGAACGCCATACGCGATGCTCGCGCCACCGGTAACAACGACGGCGATGTTGAAGCGCTGGAGAAAGAGCTTGCAAGGGAGCAAGGAAAGGATCGGGCGACGGTTAGGAGGATGCAGAAAGCTCTCAAGAAAGAGCAGGACAAGAGTGAAGAAGCGCACAGTGGCTCACATCAAGTCATCGAGCAGGAGGCTAGTATGCCAGGCTGGCCGGGAAGTCGTGATCTACCGATTAGACAGCTCATCAAGGTTGAGGACGAAGACATGTAGTATGAGGATGGAGAGTAGCACAGGGTGTGTGATTAACGCCAAGGAAAGCTTATGTATCTGTCGATGATACTCATTGCGAAGCTTGGAGAAGGACTGCGAGGGTTCACGTGCGAGCAAAGAACAACCATCATGAGAGAGATATGTGCGAACTCAGATTGTATTGTGATAGTCGATGTGAGATGGTGACAAGACACGTCGTAGGCAGAGATACGAGTAACAGCGATGATATAGCATGCTGGTAAACATGATTCATCTGACAGAACATCGTGTGTGACTTCATCCCTTTCCCCTTGCACATATACTGTCACATTTCCGAATTGAGAAGCAAGTAAACGTTCGTTCATTCATTCTCCAACAACACCGGGTATAAACTACACCTCCCTTTCCATTCCCCATTCACACATATCACATAACATTCATATACAACACCAACCCACCAACCCACCAACCCCGATCACTGCACCTCAAAAACCCCACTAACCCCCTCAAACTCCTCAACAGCTCCCCCAACTTTCTTCGCATCCCCATAATACCTAATCCTGTACCTCCCCTTCTCCGTCCCCAGAACCGGCGTATCCCAACTAATAGTAACATCACTCGTCCCCGTAAGCCCATTAACCCTCTTCCACTGATACACGACCTCCCAATCCTCGTCGTTCTTAACCTGCGTCCACTCCCCACCGTCACCATCACTATCACTGCTCTGTTTCTCTATAGCCGCAAACGTGCCTTCAAGACGGAGGTTGTTCCGCGGATTCGCGCCGACGAACGTCGCGGAGACCGTGGCGCCGCGGGCGTAGGTCGGCAGGACGTCCTTTGTGACCTGGCCGAAGGAGCGGCCGAAGCCAGCACCGTCGTAGACGACGCCGGTGATGAGGGAGATGGATTTGTCGCGGTTGTCTGGGGGCGAGGGGCCGGGCGGAGGCGGGGAAGAGGAAGAGTCGGATAGGTAGGGGAGGTAGGACAGGGTGGAGTTGATGTAGGCGTTTAGGGTGTGGGGCCCGTAGAGGGTGGAAGCGCCTTCGTAGCGTTGGATGCCGTATTCTTCTTCCGTGGCGATGTAGTGTGTGTAGCTGTTTGCTGGGCCGCCTAGTACGACGATGGGCGAGGTGGCGATGGCGGAGGAGATGACGGCGTTGTGGACGGCTTCGCGCCAGCGGCGGCCGGACATGGTTGTTGCTTCGCCGGGGGAGACGATGATGACGAGTTGGCCGACGCGGAGGACTTGGATGTCGACGATGTTTGGGGACCAGGGGTAGGGCACGTTGGCTTGTCCGACGTTAAGTAAGACGGGCTTCGGGTACTGGCACTCCTTTTGCTCTTTGCTTGGTGGTGCGATGGCGCTGCCGACGAGGTTCCAGAAGGGATTCGAGGGCGCGCCGGGGTCGTTTTGGACAAAGTCAAAGGCGCCGGGGCCGTCGGATGTGCCGGCTGCGAAGGAGTTGCCCATGGCTGCGGGACATGTGTGGACGACGGAACCATTGCTGAGGGTGAAAGTGAAGTTGGAGAAGTCGACATAGGTGTGGAACGAGCGGACCTTGCCAGAGATGGGCGTGAAGGCATTGAAGTCGTAGATGCTCCTGGCACCCTCGGCCTGACGCCTGCCAATCTCGTAGCAGGACTTGTGGCCTCCGTCGTCGAGACCGAAGAATGGTCCACGACCGTGGCAGTCCTGGCTCTTTCCTCCGCAGGTGCTGTCGTTGAGTCGGCACTGCTGGCCTGAGCCGTCTTCGCAATAGGCGCCGAGTACGTTGGGGGTAGTGTCACCGACATTGGCCTGCGAGAAGCCTGCCACAAAGCCCTCGGCAGCATTTGAGTCGGCCGCATTGGCCTCCATATCCTTCTCCAGCAAATATGCGGCCACGCCCTTGTTGTCTCCAGCAATGAGCGTCTGGTTTCCAAGCATACTGGTGCCGTGGACAGGGAACCAGTTCAGGATGCCAATGCTCTTTCCATCACTAGCTCTCGTGAACTTCAAAAGTGTCATGGTCTTGTCGACATTGTCCGTGTAGCGATCGCGTTCTGCTTGGGGGTTGGCAAGGTAGGCGAACAGACTGCGGTTGATGTTCGCATCAGCAATCTTTGCACTGCCAGCGCTGACAGTTCCCAGGGTAAGTCCTTCATGCGCCCTCTTGATGGACAGAAGTGTTCCGTCCACAATCGCGCGATAGCTCTGCTTGTCGAAACCCTGGCTCGTGATTTGCGGAAGGAGGTAGTTCAACCAGGCTCCCGGTCCGGCATGGCTGTGGGTGCCAGTCACGGCGACATTGTTCTTCCCGTATACAGCGTATTCGGAGCCCATGGCCTGGAGCCCTTCCAAGATGCCATTTCGGATGGCAGTGTCTCCAGACTGTGTGTCGAGGACGAGGTACACGAAGCGTTCGCTTGCTTCGTCCGGGTTGCCGACGATGAAGGCGCGGGAGTAGAGGCGCTGGCGGAGTCCAGATCCGATTTGCGACGAGTTGGCGTAGCCCATCATGTTGAGCTCGACGACGGGACTGTGGCGACGTTAGTACATTCACACACAGTATATTCTCGCCACATACCCAGTGATATCCGCCTTGCCAACGCCGACAAGGTACGAAGAAGCGTCGCCAGCCTGGCCTCCATCCTGCTTCTCACTGTTGAAGACATCCTGCTGGGCTCCAGTGTACGTCTGATCGAGGCGCGCATGCCAGAAGTCGACGACGGGGAATCCGAGGTTGATGACGAGTTGGGCGATGATCAACGAGGCAACAAGGGCCGCACCCAGTGCGACTGCGATGTGAGAGCGCGCCATGGACGCGAAGAAATGTCTGGGCGGAAGTGTGCGGAAAGAAGGTGGAAGCCGTTGGACGGGGCGCGGCGAGGTTCTTGTACGCTACTGCTGGCACCGGAAGTTACGCGTGCCAGACGTGTAGGCGTAGAGGGTTGCACATGGGCGTACAGTTGATTAGCAGGGAAGATAGACAGAGACAGGGAGACAAAGTATCGCCTCTGGCCACACAGCAGCGCGAAGCTTGACAGTCGCGCCTGGCACCTGCATTGCATGACGTTGCGGGGTTCCTCGCCGTCTGGTTGGCGGGGAGCCCGGACGCGATCAGTGCCTAAATCTACCCGTGCAGGCCTGCTTCTCTAGCACGTCTAGTTTCGCGACACCCTTCCACCTCACCTGCGCATCCAATACACCATCTGCCATCTACCTCGCCCTTATCCCGGCCCGCTGCACGTCGCTTGCCCGCCATGCCCCTCATCCAGGAATCCTACGACCATCTCCCTTGTACGTCCAATTTGCTCCTGCCCCAACACAGCAACCATGTCCGATGCGCCCAGTCACGCGCGACATCTGGACTGATAACCCCGTTATTGCCTCGCTAACTGCATGTAGACGTCGATACGGAGCTCTCAGCTGCGAGCCTGGTCGCAGCCAGACACGCTATCAACGCCGATATCAGGGCCGCAGGCGTAGACACCACAGACATGCATCCGGCGCTTATACCAGCAGCGACGAAATACACACCCACCTTTTCCGATTTCATCACGCGCGAGCATGCGCGCCTCGACGATCACCCTACGTCGAAGCTGTCGGGCGTCGATTTGAAGCGCTATGAGGATCTCGATGCGCCGGAGAGCACGACTCCGACGAGCGACGAGGAGAGGCCGGAGTTGCTGGAGCGGTGGAATAAAGCGCTCAAGCAGGCGTACACGAGCTCGGAGTATGTGCAGGGCAGGCTGACGCAGTTGGGCCTGTTGGAGAAATTCGGGAAGAACGCGTGGTTGGTGGGTAACTCGCAACTGGAGGATATACTCAAGGGCGTCGAGGCTGAGCTGGCGGGTTTGGGCAAGCAGCAGGAACAGGTGGAGATGGCGAGGAGGTCGCAGCAAGATAGTGCGGGTGCTGAGCTCAAGACGCTCGAGGAGACGTGGAAGAAGGGTGTAGGAAGAGTCCTAGAGACCGAAGTCGCGGCTGAAGGGTTGAAGCTGCAGATTCTGGAGAAGCGGAGGGCAGGGGCAGTTTAAAAAATTCATCACCGTCGAGTGAAGAGGATAGTTGCATGATACCCAATACACACATTACAAAGAATTACTACACACACAGCATGATTTACGACAAACAGGTCGCAATCAGTGATCATTACTAGGAACTATATAGCTAAAGTAGCAGGGGTACTCATTTATAGAATTGAAAAAGCACGCCTCATTCGCCATCGCTGCTCTGCTCATCTGCAAAAACAAGTCAAGGAAAAACGTTTCATCCCTTTTTGGGTATCGAACTCCATCGTCATTAGCTGAAATGAAAGACAGACCATCCACTAGTACACAATACGCTCGTCGAAGACGGGTGCCTCACGCGAGTGACCGTCCTCAACACCCTTCCAGTACACCTTGCCCTTCTCGTTGAAGGTAGCCTGCTCGTCCGTGATGACGAGTCCGGGGACGGTCTTCTGCGTGTCCCTGATTTCGCGCGTGCTGATGCCCATGTCGTCCTTGACGATCCAGATTACGGGTGTGGGGCTGGTGACGGAGGGGTTGAAGAAGGCGCGCTTCTGGATTTCCATGGGCAGCGGCTCTTGCGGGTGGTGGTAGAACTGGTCGAGGGACGCGGAGAGGTTGTGGATCGAGTTCTTCTCGGGGTTGAACATCTTGGCCAGGAAGCCGGGCATGCGGGTGGCCTTGGGGGCGTAGCTGGGGGTGGCATCGGTGGTGTGGACCTTTTCGCCGTTCTGGGTGTGCATGCCGTCCTCGTGGTGGCCGTTGGTGACGCTGCCGTGGGCAGGGGATGGGTCGGTGTAGGCGAGGCGAGCTTCCTCGTGCTTCAGAGCGAATTTCAGAGTGAACTGGAAGACGAGGGTGAGGAAGAGGAGCAGGCACATGATGGCCAAGGGACCGACGGCCTGGATGTTCTTGGCCGTGGCAATAGCGAACAGACCGATCAGGCAGATCTCAGACAGGTAGATACCGGTCATGAGCTGACGAAGAGCCTTCTGGTAGGCTTCGCCCTTGGTGTCCAGGTTGGTCTC